ACATCCATCCATCCATCCATTCGCTTCCGCTTATCCTTTTCAGGGTCGCGGGGGGCGCTGGAGCCTATCCCAGCTGTCATAGGGCGAAAGGCGGGGTACACCCTGGACAGGTCGCCAGTCTGTCGCAGGGCTAACACACAGGGACAGACAACCATTCACACTCACATTCACTCGCACATTCACACCTAGTGGCAATTTGGATTATCCAATTAACCTATCCCCACAAGCTGCATAGACATAAAATGTCTAAATTTTAGAGGACAATATACAGAAGAATTAAAGACGTGCTTGTTTTTGCGAAAACATGGCTAATGTTTAATTTCTTTCTATGCCAGCACTCAGTGTCTGCTGGCTCAGCTGATACCATCCCATTGGTATATCTCATAAAGGAAGCCCTATTGTAATTGCTTTAGCCTGCTACAGATGCAGTTGCTGCTGCAAGCCACTTTGCAACACACCTCCAACACAGTCTTTAACTTTTGAGGCAGTGATGTACCTGGTCACTGTTTTATGTGTAAATTTGTGTCATTTCGATTTCATAAAATAAACTAAATTTTCCAAGTGTGGCAGTGTTTACATTCTTCAACAAACACACATATAGAAACGTCTTCTTGGCTCAAGGCATCTCTTCAAATCCACCAGATTCTTCATAAAAATATGTTTTTTCTATCCAGTCAGATTTCAGAGGACACTGAGCAGAAGCATATTCTTACTAACTGACCTGTTGAATCTCATCTCACGCCTCTCCTCCCTGACTGTTTGGCTTAGGCTGTAGCGTCGCTGCGGGGCAGGGGAGTCCTCCCCTGCTGCCTCCTCCTCCTCATCTTCCACCGTGTCTCCCAGTTTCTCCTCAAAGGCCTGGATCTTCACCTGCAGCTGCTGCTCTGGTGCTCCTCCTCCTCCATCTGATTGGAACGCCTCATCCACCCTGAATGCACACAGAGCCAGAGTTCACATTATAGTTGCTATACGTGTGACCTGAAGCTGACGGTGTCACAAGTTTCTCCCGCTCTGGCAAACGTTGGCTTAATTTGCTTCTTTCTTACATTAATTGGTTCAAATTGTGTTGAACCCTCTTTCGCTCTTTTCTGTTTTTCGTTCCTTACTTGTGTTTTTATACAAATATCCTTCAAAACTTTTACTTGTTTGAAAGAGGGCTTCCTTTCCACTCCCCCCTGCTCTTTCACTAATAAACTGCCTTTGCCTCCCTCCAATCCTTTTCCCCTTCTATCTCTCTTCCAAAAGACCCCAAGCAAAGTCTTTCGAAGCCTCAAACTCTGCACACAATGTTCTTATTTAGAAGAGAGCTGTGTGTGTGTCATTTCCACAGGGCAGCCAGATGACTCTTGGCCAGCGTATGCACGGTATGGCGTGTTCACTTCTTGTGAACGCAGATTGTTTTGAAGGCAAAACCAAAAAGAAAAATATTTTAATGACCTTAAATAACAGTGCGCTGTAACAGACCCAGATTTGATTTTAGTGTCACGATCAAAGTAACACAGCTCAATGTGTCGAGTCAGTATGTGTATTCTCTTCATGACTCAGTCTCTGACACAAAAAAAATCCCCCACTCGCCCTGTGGGGCGGCCTTCATCCTTCAAGCTCGGGTGCTCTATCAAAGGCCTGGGAGCTTGAGGGCTCTGTGCAGTATCTTAGCTGTTCCTAGAACTGCGCTCTTCTGGACAGAGATGTCAGATGTTGTTCCTGGGATCTGCTGGAGCCACTCGCCCAGTTTGGGGGTCACTGTCCCGAGACCACTTCTGCCTTTACCCTCCACATCTTCTCGAGTTGTTCTCGCAGCTCTTGGTATTTCTTGAGCTTCTCGTGGTCCTTCTTCCTAATGTTGTTATCACTTGGTATAGCTACATCCGTCACTACGGTCGCCTTTCTCTACTTGACCATCACTAGTTTGTCCGCCTGTATCTGGAAGTCCCACAGGATCGTAGCTCAGTCATTCTCGACCACCCTGGGGGTCCTCTGCTATCAACAGAATATGATTGTGTGGGAAAGTCCCATCAGATCAGCAGTTTCTGAAATCCTCAGACCAAACCATCTGGCACCAAAAAAAACCATGCCACATTCAAAGTCATATAAATTCTTCCTCATTCTGATGCTCGGTTTGAACTTCAGCAGGCCGTATTGACCATATCCACATGCCAAAATGCACTGAGCTGCTGCCACGTGGGTGGCTGATTAGATTTATTTTTTTTATATTAACATGCAGTTGACCAGGTGAACCTAATAAACTGGCCAGTGAGTGCACAAATCCCTTTTTAAATAAAAGGAAGAAACAGAGCATTGTAGTTGCTTAGTCTGCACAAACTCGAATTTTATTAAAGTGACTCCTGAGCGAATGCAAAACATAACAAGAATATAATCAGCAACACTTGAATATCAATCTCTAGTTGTCTCTAGCTACTCTCCATAGTAGCTGCTGCAATCCATAGAGGCTGTAGAGACACTATTTAAGATTTTAGGTGACCACCGCTAAGAGATTTCATGCAGCCCATGTTAACAGGTGTTTCCTAACCTGCAGTGTGATGTTGATTTCTCCTCCAGTCGTCTTCCCAGAAGCCTGGCTATTGCAGTGAAAGAGTTGCTCATCCTGTAGATGTCTTTACCGCAGCCGCCCAGTAAAGATGGGTAACGGTCGGTCAGCGCTCTGACCTCCAGCAGAAGGGTGTGGTGAAAGCTGTGCTCCATGCTGCCCAGAAGGGACACCAGGTAGACCAGCGAGCTGTGAGCATGAGTCTGGAGAAAGGAGACCACACATAATATCAGCCCTGGCCGACACTGGTCTTGGTATAAAATTAAACAGAAAAATAACCGAGGACTTTGAGGAAGATTTTTTACTGTTCAATGGTTTATTTTTCATTTAAAAGGGGCCCAGTGTTGTGTTTTGCAGCAGTTTGGGAATATTGTTGAGTTACATGTGTTTTGGTGAAGAAAGCATGAATTTTAGCTATGGTAATTCAACACACATGAGTTTTCCTCTTCCCGTCTGTTTGGGAGGGTTTGGTGTAACTTCTTTTGTTATTAAATCATAGCAAACAATAATAAATACAAACACATGCAGGCTGGCTCCCAGCAAACTTTTTAAAATACAAACTTGTTCTTTTCCCAAATGTAATAGCTTTCCAACTGAACTGCCGTAATAACCACATTTCATCATTCCCAGCATGTTTCTGTACAAATGAAATCCAGCACATATACAGTCTTGTGACTGTTGAGAGAGTAATACTTAACCAGGAATATGACCTGTGCAATACCCCCTCAATAGACGCCCCATGCCTCTCTTGTATATATATTTCTGTATACAAAATTGTGTAACGTATACTTTAATGTAATCAGCTTTATTTAACAGGAGCAGCCGCATTTTAAACAGAGCGCAGAAATCGGCGTGACAGGAGATGATCAAAGGTGAGTGAGAGCTCTCTTGTGGTGTTTTAGGGCAGAACTAAAGCCAAAAAATCCCCATCTGTGGTCAAAAACCTTTTTTTAAACACTTGCGTCTTATAAAACTCACATTGCAGAACTAAAAACTCAAAACACTCTCCTTCCTTCTCGAATTCTCAGATAAGAAGTGATTGATTGATGGCGGGCAGAGCCAACCTCTGTTTCCAGCCCTCTAGAACACCTTGTAACGAGGAGAGAACAACGCAGTTACAGCATCGTTCAGGCATGCCTCAAAAACACTCTCTGTAGGATACTTCGTTTCTATTATGTGGATCCCAAAACTACCACAAAAGGAAGAACTTGACTTTTAAAAAACATTTAAACCTAACAACATGCCAAGCAGGTATTTAGGAGTTTCCACGGCTCTGCACAAAAAGGACTCTGGAGCGTGGCTGGAGCTCAGGCTTTGGCTACGTCTGAACTAAAGTTCAGGCTTTTCCAGATGATTTTACTTTTTAAGGACTTACTAAAATTCTTCCAAATATTTCAGCATACGCAGAGGCTCGCATCATTTTCACTTTGGAACTGAGAATAATAGCATAAAATTTAAAAATCTGCCGGACATATGAAGATCTCTTCAATCGTCAAATTACGTTTAATTATTTGGAGACAGCACTTGGCCTTGATTTCGTATCCTGAACACATTACGGCTTTAAAAGCTAAACTCTTTTGTAAAGCTCTGCCAAAAAGGACAATAACAGGAAGGTCTTAAAAAAGAACTACTAGCTGTTTTTAATTATGAGCTTCCATGTTTTCCAGAAAATGATGGCAGGGGGGGGCAGATCTTCTTCCAAACTGCCAATCTGCAGAAGACTGACACAGATCTAGAGATTTATGGTTTTTCAGCCTTGTGTCTGAACAAATAAATTTCCAAATGCCTCCCTGGGAAACAAACTGTGGCCCATTCTGTTTCAGTCACTGACAATAATTTGAGCCAAGCTCCTCTGGCAATAGCACCTGCGCTGGTGTGTACAAAACATTAAATACCGGGGGATTCAAACCAAAAGAGAAAAAGCAAAGAAAGAAAACATTGCATCGGTACAGTGACAAGCCAAATCCTCTCGCTGCTTACCACCCAGTTATTTTCTTTTCCTTTCTTCCCTTGCTTCTTTGCATTAGCTTCAATTGGAGCTGCAGTCTGGCACACAGTCACTCTACAGTCTCTTCATTTATTAAATAAAAACAACAGCAAACAAATACGATTATATTTATCTTTCAGGTATATAGAATTTGTGTAACACTGCCTAAAATCAACTGACAATCTTAATCATAATCATCTCAAAGACTTTAAGTTAGTGTGAAGATCAATTTATTTAGAAGAAGTTTGTTAATTCACAGAGTCAGATGCAGCATGCAAAGGTGGAGCGGGGTAGGGTGTGGGTGGGTTGCAAAGTGGCTTGGAGAGGCAGCTACAACTGTTGCAGGCTAAAGAAACTGCAATGATGCACATTATCCGAGATTTGCCAGCGGGCTCCACAGTCACCATCCGATATGAGCAGGGACTGTGATCAGCTGCTGGGTGAGTTTGACTTTGTGGCCTCCCTGATGTAAAGCTAAGTTTACAAGTTTAAAGCTAAGCTTTCAAACAAATATATATATATCTTTTATTGTTCTGTCGAATTGAATTTATATGTATATATAGCACCAATCTATAACATCAGCTGTCTCAGAGAGAAATTCTCTAGCCATCAGATGAAGCCCTACAAGCAAGCACTTGGTGATAGTGGGAAGAAAGAACTCCATGTTAACACCAAGATATCTCTAGTAGAACCAGGTACAGGGAGAAGTGAGAACTGCACACGCTGGTTTCTCAGCATTGCTTTGAGATGTTGCTAATACTACGCACATTATAGTTCATTTACCCTAGTTTGAATCAGTTGATGAGTTTGTAAATTTGTAGCTTTGGTTTGGGTTTTTTCCCCACAGAAAATCTCAAAGTGAACCAAAATACGTCACTGAAATAGCTTATAGCTTATAGGCCAGATGTAAATACAGGAAGAAGGTTGTTCTGTTCTGCATAACATAGAGAATTTACATTACTGTTATGGCTAGTTGCTAACCTGTACTGACCGTTTGGTATGCACACCTATGATACGCTGCTGCACCCCAGAAAACAAAGCATACTTGGCTAAGGGAAGGTGTTTAGCTCAAATTTGCAGCATATACAGTAGCTGGTTGTTGGTTCAGATCACGTTCACACCATAAACAAAGCCACCTCCTCCAAAAGGTCTCGTGAATCGACGGGTAAAAAAGTACCAGAGTTCAGTTTAAACGGACTAAACACCAAAGGTGTGAAAATAGCCTTTGTTCATCACCAAGCCCCATCTTGTGATCCTATATAGCAGTCGCAACTATACTGTCTAAATTTCTTTCCAAATAATAACAAACTGGGTATTTTAAATGCATAGGATTAGCACTAAATGCAGAACGACTTCAGAGTTGAATGAAGTCCTCATCAATCAAATGCACACAAGCAGATTCTGGAGAAACTGCAGTGGGATTGTTGCTAATGCCAGATTTGGCCTGATGCTTTCTGCTACCATGTTTTATGCAAACAGATTAGTGTTCCTACAACAACAAAGATTTTCTTGCAGGAAACCCCCTCCAAAACTTTAAACACAAGTGGATTGTGGCCCATGAGGGTTCAAATTAATTGTTGTTGCTCCTCAGTTGGTCACACCTGCATCCAGCTAAGCAGCAGTTAAAGTTAGCATGATGATGACGTTCCTTGTAACTGAAGGAAAATGACTCTTATCAGAGTGGTTTAAAAACTGTGAGTGCCGCATGAAGCTGACGCACAGCTTTTTGTGTTCCTATTGTTAAAAAACGCACTTGTGGGAGCGAGATAGAAGAATAGGTAGTTGCTGTTTTACTTCAGTAATCTTTGATGAAATTATAATGGACACACATTTGAGAAAACTAATGGCAGTAGTCACAAAGCAATCTGCATGTAATCTGGCTGTTTCAACACTGAGTGGGACTAGGTTTGATTAGTTTTATTTCTGTATAGCAACGTAGAGCAAGACTGTTTGCAATTCCATCAGTTTCTTTTTTCATATTTTCCTGCAGCGCTGCTTGAATAAAAAGCAGTCCACAGCAGTCCACAGTGTGCAAGGGTTTCTTTCACCAGTGACATATTCTGATCCAACACGCAATAAGTCCAGAAACACAGTATAGACTAACTCCCTTCAGGTGGCTGAGGGAAGCCAGCGAAAGACTTGTGCAATCAAGAACAAATGCATCCCAGTGTGAAAGGTTGTGTGTATGTGTGTGTGCGTGCTTGCGGGGCACAAACACGAACCCACAGGAGGGTCTCTCCACTGCCATCATCAGGAGGCCTCAGCAGGGGCATTTCCCAGAAAACACTGGTTATTTTCCAAATGGTTCCAATGTGAAGAAAGGCAGGACACCGAGGTCCAACAATCTGTGTATCTGAACGTGTATGAGTATTTGTGAGTGTGTTAAAACTGCGCTGGCAGGTTTTTTGACAAGAAGATTGAGGAGGAAGGGAACTTTCAGAGGGAAACTTTGCCCTGGAGTAATAGAAAGCCTATTATGGGTTCCAGCTTTGAGATTTCTGTGTACGTCCGTTTCTGTTTCTGCATGTGTGTTTGTATATAAGTATAGGTGGAGGGGGAACACTTCATGTAGAGACAGTCATAATGGGTTTTTTTTTTTGCTAATTTCCCCTAAATTGTTGTTAAACTGCCCAAAATGCACCCAGAGGAAAAGAGAAAAAGAAAGTGGGAGCTCTCACCTGTCTTGCTGTCAGTCTAAACCCCCCAAACACACACACAGGCATCACAGACTGACTATAAAGTGGGTCTTCATCACATGTATGATTACACAGTGCTGCATAAATACTTAACAGGGTTAGAACAAGACTAGCAATAGAGCTGTAAACCTACAAGGTCTACACTGAACGCTTTTAGATGACGATGACATGATAATAATAACAATAATAGTATTTTCTGTCGTCATTTTAAAACCTGAAAGAACACAACATAAGATAACACAACTTATAAAGCCGTATTAGGGGCTCTGTGAGAGCGTGCTGTGTAAGCATGCTGATCATTAGCAGGAATCTTTTTTTTTTCTTCTTCTGTATTAATTCATTTTATGAACTTTTGTTTATTAGTATTGAACTTGTGTACAGCAGCAGGTCATTGGACAAATAAAACACTGAAATTGGGGCTTAATATTGCTTTATCAAAGACAGACTTCATCGTCAAGACAATCTTTTATTGTTGTCCATCAGTTTATATATCATTGCATTTTGCTCTTTTATAAGGCTATTTGTTGAGTAACATCTGATGGCAGCCATATGTGTGACCCATAGGTTAAAGGATGCACATGGAACAAATTGTGTCTCTTTCAAAACAAATTTTGATATTTTTAATCTCTACAAAAAGTGAACTTATTGGATGTAACAGGAGCTGTCATGCTGTATTAGCAGTATTCAAATCTGCTTTTAAATCTGTGCAAAAGTCAATACAGACACAAATAACGTGTGTCTGTTTTTGGTTTTAAACAGAGGGGTGTCACAGTCTTGGTGTCAGGTGATTCATTGAGTCAGCCAGGCCATGAATTGCCAACTCATGGTGGCAGTGGGGTTTGGATTTTTGGGTGCTCCTGAGATCTGTGTTGTCAGGGGCAATTTTCCCCTGGTAGGGTCTTTCAAGGCAAACTGGCTTTGGTTGAGGGGCCAGAGAAAGTGAAGCGTTGTTTACTCCAGGACAGGGTCGCTCGGGCTTCACCTTGGAGGTGGGCCTGTGGGAGGGGTTCACCTGAGGTTAATGTTCCCTAAAATTGTGTTATGTTTGCAACAATAGGGTAAGGCTTAGAACATTGCTCCTTCATTGTTACTTCAAATTAGATCTTCACCTGCCAGAATACCAGACTCTGACCTTTTTAATTGAGGTTAATTGAGGTAATATGCTTTAACGAACAGTAAATATGAATTTATGTCATGCAGTTAAAGTGTTTAAAATGTATCCACTTATTCCATTCACACAATGATGCAAAGTGATGGTCTAATCATATCCGGTGTGTAAAAGCCTTTACAGTTAAGCCTCTTCAACTTGAGTTTCATTTTGTAGAAGATAGTCAAAAAATGGTAACTCTGGTGTGGAGGGCAGGTTTAGTGTGTTATGCTAGAGTGGCCAAAAAGCTGCCACATTTTCAGTGTGCTGCTGCTTATGAAAAAAAGAGAGCATACTCCTGAGCTTCCAGAGAGCTGCAGATCATGCACAAATCATCTACTTTGACCTCCAGTGGTCAAAAGATCATCTCCGGGAAGCAATCTAAAAATAGCTGCAACTGGAGTGGCCCAGAGGTGTACCAGAAGTTGAACTTGAAGGTGAGATCACCAAAATTTGAAATGAGGTAAGGCTCTTTTTTGAGTGTGTGTGTTTTTTTTGTTTGTTTTTTTTACCTCACTGATAATGCCCACAGCACCGTGGATTTTGGCCACATGAGCCAGGAAAGCAGGGCACTGCTGTCCCAAGATCCTGAGCGGTGACAGAAAGCTGACCAGCGAGGAAGGACTTGCTTGAGACACATCGACAAGTGCTCCTAAAAGAGCCTCGGTGAGAGACTGGTTCCCTAGGTAACCGACCAACGTTGGAACCTGAGGGCTCAACATCTGCATGGATGAGGAAAACAAAGAAAGAAGCAGAGAATTAGAGAGGGGGAAATAAAATAAAAACAGAGCATTATTCATGACAAATAACAACTACCAAAAGGAGCCCTGATCTTTCCAGTGAAGGCCGTAGGTGAGAGGAGTGACCTCGGAGTGAGATGAAGATACTCGTGACTAATAATAAACAAAAGCTTGGCTGTAGGGATGTCTGGAAAAACTGAGTGAATAAAAAGCTCCTGCTCATAATCTGTAAGGGTCATAGTAGATTGCACTAGACTGGAATGGTCTAACAATATCCACCATTGCCAGCTCTTTTAGTTGTTGTGAAAGATTATGAAGCCATATATGTCCTGTTAACAATTCTGTCTGACAAATGAAAAATAGGTTATGCAGTTCAAAAGTTCCACATGAGTGCCATTTTAATGCCGCATCACTTACGAAAAGTGAATCTCAAGATGCCAAACATTTGGTAACTGTTGTGACGAACACAGCTACAATATTTTCCTGTGTGCCTGTGTGGGGGGTTCACATTAGAATAACTCCAGATGGCTGCTTTTGTTTCTCAACTGAGGCTGCGTTTTACCACCATGTGCTCTGCTTGGTATGTGGTACTTCCCCGCCCACCCCCTCCTTCACGTTGAACATCAGCAGCTCTGGTCCAAAATATCCAGGATTAAGGGAATTCCTGCACACCACATGCAAAGTCCCAATTCTCCCAGTGCTTTCTCTTTTTTTTTCTCCAATGCATTTTCCACATGCATTCATTTGCATACATTTCAGTCACAGATAGAAACGACATAATCACAGACATGCTGGATTTCGCAACTTCTTCACGAGTGTTTTTGTTTCTAGATACTGGATTACTTTCACATGGGCCATCAGTTCTGACTGTAATGCATTTACCTCGTTTTAGTTTTTATTAATACTAGATATAACATGTATATACTATGTTTAGGTGTCACTTGACTATGGATTCCTGAAACAGTCAGATCAAGGGCACTGAAGGAAGAGACCGGCAAAGCTTCAAGAAACCCAAAACACATTATAAAAAATGACACAGGCACTTAAATAAGCCTCACCAAGCACACAACTGAGGTTTCTACACGGTCTGAACTATGTGGTGGGAGGCATTTAAATGATGTAGAGCGCTGAACACATTTATAATGCCACCTGTCGTAAAAACAAGAAAATAGAAACATTTTAGAAGTCTGTCATTACATTTTATATGTATTATTATTGTAATTTTCACCGTGTTGGCTGCAAAGCGGTGACACAATGACTGAAATTTTAATATAAATTGCGGGTGAAGTAATAGTGGTATGAGCAGCCATAACTTAACAGAAAAAATTATCCAAATAATCCAAATGAAAGTGGATAGTTTGAATAGTTGGTTTCAAGCGCAGTAAATTGTTAATTCGTCAGCACAAAAACTCACAAGTGGATGTTGCTCGGCAACCATTTGAATAAGCCTGATCAGGTGTTGTTGCTCGGTGGATTCCAGCTGTGGCATCATGGCGGTGAGGTTGCCTAGGTGGTGGTGAATGGTGTCTGGTTGTTTGGGGTAGACTGAGGGCAGAACTCTCAACAGCATGTGGTTACCTGGCGGGGAAAGAGAAACACAGATGTTTTATTGAGCCCCAGAGACAACTTCAAAGCCTTTTACAAACAGATTCCACACAAAGTGGTCATTGTGTGAAAAAAAAGGTCACTTTAAAAAAACTGCACTGAGCACCTGACCTCTTTTTTAACATTTCCATGCATTTAAAGCGTGCTGAATTTGTGTTTTATCTTCACTAATCCCACAAACCTGAAAAGGATAGGTGGAAGAAAATGGATGGAAGGATCTTCAGTGGTTGGGTACCAGTACCCAAAATGTTCAGACCAGCTAAACACCATCAAATTACACACATATATCTTGACAACGAACGAGCAGCTAAGCATTAAGGGGTCAGCTGCTCCTTTGCTTTTCCTAGTAATCAAAATGTTAAGAAAACTTTTCAGGAAGAGAAAGAAGGTGAGAGAGAAGCAAAAGGCATTCTTTTGTTTACTTAGGAAAATAACACTGTGACAACGTTTCTTTTGTCCGTTTCTCGCTCCTTGCTGTTTGCAGCAGGATGACTCAAACAGGGTCATTACAGAGTTAGAGGAGGCTGTTAGCTCGGGCTGGTCAGTGTCGCATTGGCACATTTATTACAGGAGGTGAAAAAGGTCACTTTTGCATTTTGTCATCCTCTCTGCAGAGATTTAGGTCTGACATATTGCATCCGAGCCTGTTTTATGTGCTTATTTCTGTGTTTGGAGAAGCAAAGATGTTGAGATTGATCAAAAAAAGAAGAAAAAGCATATTGTTTAAAACCTTTCTTTTTTAAGTTGCCTTTGGCATAGCTCTAATGCTATCCTCAGAAGACACACATCAGATTACCAGTCATGAGACAACATCTCTGTTCGGGAATGAAATTTTCATTCGTTGTCAGTACTCATGCAGTGATGCTGAGACAGCCAGTACTGACGCATGACTGGCAAAAAGGCATTTGCTGATCAGCAAAGAGCCCAAGAAAACCCACAGTATTACCCAACAGCCTTTGACTAACATATAAAACATCTTTAAATGATTCACATCAGTGAACAAAGACTCTTGTTTACAAATGGTAAACATTATGGGACCTCTCAGGGTTCTGTACTACGGTTCTTGAGTATTACATAAAGCCAAAAGCCCTGTCACGTTATGTTTAACTGTTGCAATTGATATAAATTGTATCAACTGCTTTAAAGGACTAGGATTTATAGTATTTGCAGAGCAGGTGAAATGGTCAGATTGGAGGAATAACTACTAGAGGAGGGCTTTAAGAAGTACTTTAACACTCCTGAGCTTAGCTAGCCTTAGCACACACACCGAACAAACAGTGGCACTGCACAAATACGACAAAATTAATCTAACTTAAGTTCATTAAAGCTCAGGTAAGCAAATCAAGACTCCTGCACCTCCTCTGGGCCCCATCAGGAGACTTTGGCCAATCACAGGCGGTGTCAGATCAAATCAGGTGAGATTTGCTGTTGGAGGTAAGATGTAAAGGAGCAGTGGCATAAGATGATTCCTCTTACCTGGCAGAGGTGTTTTTGAATGATGGGAGGGGCTTAGAACAGACGAGGCAGAGCCACAGGAAAATTACACATTACACTAAAACCAGTATTAACCTATAAATCACTGTAACCACAGGCTGTCCACTCAAAAATGTTCAGCAGGTTTGATGTTGGAACAGACCAACAGAGAGGTCTGACTGTTCTGTGCAAATGGAAGATAATATTTATAAGACGGTCATTGGCTCTATTTATGCTCACTTCTCTTGCTTTAAATGTTGCCTGCAATGTCCACTAATGTACACTAATGTAGACTATCAGGCACCACCCCTGTACTTTAAACACAAATCACCATAAAAAGAGACTGACACAGTTAGTGCACAGAAAGAGAGAGAGAGCTGGTAATAACCATAAAGCCGAGGTTGCAGCTTTTACGGGTCTTTTACAGGAATGTTAAAAGGCCGGAGGAGACAAGAGTCTGCCCAGAAACAGAGAATTTACACAGCTTACGTATTTGAGCCCCTTATACTGTCAGACACACTTGCATTTATAAAAAGTCATTTGAAAAATAAAATGAGTGTTACTGTAAATTGTTGGATTTTTATGAAATATTTGGACAAGTTCGGATCTGTTTGAATGACATCAGAAGAAAAATGAGCTTTGTCAGTAATTGTTTCCAATAAATAAGTATTTTTCTCCGGTGAATGCGAGTACACGCTTAGCATCAGAAGCTAGTGTTTCTAACTTTAGTAGAAAGAACTTTTGGTAGGTAATTTTGCACAATTACAATTTGTAGCATAGTCTCTGAAGCCCTGCTTCAGCATGTTGCAGGGGTTTCTTGTATATGTTGGCTGTTTGCTTCTATGGCTGTAGCTCAGGAGGTAGAACAGGTCATTCAATAACTGGAAGGTTGGTGGTTTAATCGCTGGCTGCTCCAGTCTCCATGCCAAAGAATCCTTGGGCAAGAAGCTGAACCCCAAGTCACACTCCACATCGGAGTATGAATGTTAGCTAGAAAGCACTTAGGTGTAGAAAAAGGTGATTGTGTGAATGAGACAAGTTATGTCCTCAAGTAGATTTGATTCGAAGCCACATGTTTTAGCTTTTTTGACTAAGACATTGATAACTCTTCATCTCTCTTAAAAAAAATCTTAATAGATTTTCTAGTATGCTTAGCAGGTCAACTTCCACTTTAACTTTGAATTGTGTGTGTGTGTGTGTGTGTGTGTGTGTGTGTGTGTTTGAGTGCTTGCATGTTTGCATACAATATCTGACCTTCATACCTTCATTCCAAACAACAGCTGACGTGACACTGTGACAGGCGCTCATGCACTGACCTTTGTTTTTTGTCTTTAGCAAACAAAGGTAACAGTTTTCTCTGACATTTTCACTGTGAAGTGTCATGTTTTCGAAATGTCACATCAGAATTACAGAACCCGTCCCTCAAAACATTTTGTGTCCAAATCTACAGAGACATTCAACTTTGATTAAAAAGAAAGTAAAAAACAATAATAAATCAGCCATTGTTTTTATGCATATTCTTTCTTGGGTTACTAAAATATAATACAGACAGTATTTAAGTACTACTAAAACAAGGGCACCCCAAATACCTGTCTTTTTTTCAAAGCTCCAGAGCTTCAGTTGTAGTCTGGATGTCTCAGTTTCTCTGCAGTCAGAGAGGACACAACACTAAGCATTACAGCTACATGTGACAGACTTGAAAAACGTTGCCTGGTTTGATGAGTGTCAGTTTCTGCTTTGACACTAAGATGGTAAAGCTGGCGTAAACATCACGACAACCCTTTGCAGCGCTTAAACACCACCAAAGGGTCTTGTTGTATTGTTGCTTACCATGTCTATCCTTTTCTGACCACATCTTCTGATGGCTGATTCCAGTAGGATAACACACCATGTCACAAAGCTCAGAACATCTCAGACTGGTTTCTTGAACATGACAATGAGGTCACTGTACGCAAATGGTCTCCACAGTGATCAGGGCATCAGAAAATTCAATAGAGCACGTTTGGGATAGGGGAACGGGGATTCTCATCATGGATGTGCAGCCAATGAATCTGCAGCAACTGTGTGATGCTGTCATATCAATAAGGTCCAAAAAGGAATGTTTCCAGCACCTTGGTGAATCTGTGCCATCAAGAATTAAGACAGCCATTAGTACTGGGTACCTAAGACATTGGTTGGAAAGTCCAAATGGATGGACAGGGCTCCATCAAACTCACGTTCATAAGAGCAGCTGCTTACTGTCTGTGACACCACAGTAAACTGCTAGGTGCATTTTTAGAGGAAAAAGCATTTAACAGGGGTATGAAAAAGTGCTAAATTTAGTTACAAAGTTTCTAAATTGGCATCAATAAGGTTAAATAATGTGTCATGCTCACTGCTTCAAGAGAGAGGGATGTCAGGTGCACAAGTTCATATACAGAAAAATATCTAAATTAAAACTGAAAATTAAGCGGTGGTCTGGAGAGGTGTAAAGAAACTTGGATATAGAGCAAAACAACAGCACAGAAACCCTTTAGAGGAAACGGTCTCAGTCTGGTCTTAAGCAAATTCAGGAGCAGTTTGTTTGTGGCTGTGACGCGACCTGACCTCAGTCTGACTCAAAGCCTGAGCTAAATGGCCCTTGCAGCAAACTGTTTTATTTTCGGGGACACGTCAGACCATGCAAACTGAAACAGCTTGGGTAGTTGTAGCCAGTGTTGGTCAAGTTGCTTGAAAAAAGTAATCAGTAACTAATTACTTCCCCAAAAAAGTAATCCCGTTACTTTACTGATTACTTATATTCAAAAGTAATTAATTACTTAGTTACTTAGTTACTTTTTAAAAACCCGATTTACAACCTGAAGAGGTGATAAAGTGATAGATCTTTCAGCCCAGTTCTACTTTTTCTGCATAATCCATCATACAAAATGTAATCAAATGGAAAAGTCTCTTTTTTTAACTTGTTTTATCAGTTTTAATCTTTTAACTTTATGCATCAAGCAAAAATTTAATTATATGCAACATTCTCTGAGTTGAATAAATGAGTTTAACATTTAAAGCTATTTTCTGCACATTCCAGCACATAAAATAAAATACTTTTTGTGTTTACACTCAGTCTTTCAAATAGATGCAAGTAAAACACAGCAGAAAATAAATAAAGTCAAAGACTCAGCGGTCCTGTTGCTCTATTTTCACCTGTAAAGCAGGAGTGGGGTAGGCGGAGGTTTACCCTGGTGCAAGTGTGCCGTGGTCAGCTGAAGAATCCGCGAGTTTCTCTGTGAGTTTCCCATTACGTCGTAGCTACTCGGTGCTTGCTTAGAAGTTTAGGGGTTTTTTTGCTGTAAGAAGAAGTTTTCTTCCCACACACGATGGACACTAATGTTTTTGTCACTTTTTATGGAATCAAACTCAAAGTAAGGTCAGTGCTTCCACGCTGCACGCTCATACTCTCTCCCACAATCGATATGTGATCCATTGTTGATCTGCACACAGCTGTTGTCACTAACGGTGCACTCGCTTACGTCACTGTCATGAGACATTCTCGCAAAAAATCACGGTTTTAGTAACGCAGCGTTCCTACGGGAAAGTAACGGTAATCTAATTACCGTTTTTGCAATAGTAATCCCTTACTTTACTCATTACTTGAAAAAAGTAATCAGATTACGCGTTACTGTCCATCTCTGGTTGTAGCAGAGGCTTATAAGAGAATGGGTTTTCTCACAACTATGGACTTAGTAGAAACGTTCCTCCACTGTTTACTTTCTGGCCCCGGACACATCTAGCCGGTGAGGAAAGTAAACATTCTCTCGTGTTTTTGCAGAGATGTTTTTTGGTTCTTTTGGATTTTTCTCTATGTGAAAATGAGCAAAATCATCAAGAAAATGTTATAAGTTTACAAAAACACGCAAACTCAGATGTGAATTATGCTGCAGAAAACAATTTGACTAAAAAAACAATTCCCTGACACTTCAAGACCAAAACCTCAAGAAGATCAAGAAGCATTCACATGAAAATGTGGGTTTAAATGAGCTGAAGATGCGCCAGAAGTTCTGTGTTACATTTAAAAAGCTAGAAGGAGGTTTTCATTGTCAGCTGGCCTGCCGATTTATCTTAAGTATTGTGGATGAGTACATTCTCCACACATTAAACAATGCACATAATCTGACAAAGAAAAAAAACAGAAAAGAAGAAAACCCCCAGAACCTTTACAACAGGGAGGTTACTGCAGGGAGAAAACTGCAGAGACCAACGCAAACGATGTCCAGAGGGATGTTTTTGGAGAACTTTACGACTTTAACGTGTTTTCTGCAGCTTCCAAAGCACATTCCATGTACACATGTCCAGCCTGTCATATTTCATGCTAATCGAACACTCTGAGGTGGGTGACGGGGGTGAGAATCTGACAAATCAAAATGCAAGAGAAATCAGATGAACTTCTCCCAGAAAGCCCATACATTTGAGAATGTGTATGTTTTTATTGGATGAGCCAATACCACCCACCCCCATTACCCCCCAGCAGGGAAGGAAAAAAACACAGTTTAAAATATTCAAGCTCATATGACACGACTGCACAGATGTCTGGAAGGGATTCGGTTACCCGAAAGTAAAGAAAAGACTGCGAAGGATTTTCATTACGTGTGCACAATGAATAAAAATGTTCAGTGGATACAATTGTTTTTATATCTAAATCATAAATGCTGATCGATACTAGCACAGCTGATAGACCGATTCTCACTTTGAACTCTTTCTGTGGTATCGAGTGAAGCTTTCAGGCTGTTAAGACCCAAACTGCAATGTTTCTCAGCACTTCTTTCTGCCGAGTCAGCGCTTAATGAAGTGCAGCGGGAAACACGTTGAACACATCTGTGTGGCTGATATTAAATATTCCCTTGGTGTAAAAGCTGTGTAACTAAGTCATACATAAACTATAAGTAAGTCATTTGTCACTGCAAGGATACAACTCATGCACGAGCACACCGTGAAGTCATTTCTTTGCTCGACTGATAGAAAAGCCTGTAAGATGTGTTTCCAGCTGGCTGAATTCCCACTTGACGTTGCAGCTGTGAGGCAAAACATGGAAACATTTACAATACAAACACCCCCGAAACACAATAGAGCCTATATGAAGGCTTCTTTTCTGAGTATAGAAGCATTCTGAAACATTAATTCGTTCTAAATTTTACTTAGTTTAATGATGCTGATTGTTGATTGATGATTGTTGAAGTTGAAGTCATTTAGTGTCAAACTACAGCAGGCATGTTAAAAGGGCGTGATACTGATCACTTTTGCGGTCTTTGTCCTGGTGGAAGAGAGGACCAGCTCTTTATCCTCTTGAGAGCGTTTGCCTGACCAGTCTGGATGTGCTATGTGACCACATCACCGAGTGTCCTATGAGGATGCAAGACTTCCTGTTCGGTCACTCTTGGGATAACCTCTCTGTCTTTTTGTGGATGATGTGGTTCTAAGCTTCATCGTGAAATGACCTCTAGCTAGCACTGGATGACTTGGTAACTGAGTGTGAAGCAGCGGGAAGGAGAATCAGCACCTCCAAGCCTCAGGCCATGCTGAGGCCACACAAGCTGTGGTTAGTGACCGAAAGAATGAGATCAAGGATACCAGCAGCTGAAATGAGTTTCCTCTGTAGGGTGGAGGGCTCTCCTGTAGAGAGAGGAATAAGAAGCTGAATCATTAGCAAAGGGCTCAGAGTAGAGGACTTCTGGGCGCCTCCTAGGTTAGGCGTTTCAGGCATACCCCGGGGCAGACCCAAGACATGCTGGGGTGATTCATATCTCTCAGCTGGCTTGGGAATGCCTCAGTGTCCACCCTGGAAGTGCTGGAGTAAGTTGCAGATTTCAATAAGAATCCACACTGTAACCAGCTTTTCTCTGCTCTTTTCCATGTTTTGAGTTAGAAGAGACCCACGCTGTCCTCTCATGTTCTATACTCCAAGTTTTCACCGAAAATTATAGCAAATACACAGACACCCTTCAAGCGTGTTCACACCGTCTTTATAGAAACAATCATTTCACCATTTTTAAAAAAGCAATTGAACACAATGTTGGGAAACAGTGTTTCACAGGTACAACAAACAGTGATATCACACTGTACTCAAGCTGAGCACACTTCAGCATAAATGAAAAAGAAGAGTGGAACTTAAAACTGAATGATCACCAGCGAACAGTCATTGCATGATCACCTTCTGTGGCATGAATTAGCAAATCATGGACAAGTATATGGGAAAGACGACATCCAAAGTGTTCTAGAGGAAGCTTAAAAACACGATAATGGACTCAACAGTTTCAGCCATCGAGTGGAAATACAGAACTAATGAAGAGAGCCAGCTTTCACTAATCCTTTCCCACGCACCTCTCTCTGCGTTTCAGTGCACGAAGAGGCTGTTCCACCCTGATAACAAGTGGCCAAGTGTGCGTTTCAGCGGGCAATTTAGGGAAAGCAAACTAACACAATGGAAGAGAGGAACGGGCAGACAGAAAGTCGGAGGGAGGGGACCAGGATGAGAGTGAGATTATCCTAAAATCCCGTGAGGAAGTCATTGTTTCCATCCTCTTAAAAATACACAAGCAAGCACAAACACACACACACATGCATGCACACACCAGCATGCGTATCTTCTATCACACGGATGCACAGACAGTGTATAAACACAAGTACAGGCGCACAGAAGCAGCGAGGCTCACAAATAAATAAATAAATGGAGAGAAGCTGGAGAACAATAAACCCATTTAGAAACTTCTCCTGTCTGGGTTCCATTTAAACTTCACCCACTCACAGCATCCCTGCATGGGGCAAATATCAGAAAGCTCTGTGTTCCCTGCTTCCTCCTCAACCCCTCTCCTTCCCTCTCCCTTAGTCACAGGAGCTCCCGTTATATCTGATTATGACACACACACAACCTCCAACGACGCATTACTCATCGTCTCACTGCAGTGCTTTCAGACTCCCTTTTGTACTTACGAAAGCAAAATCTTTTCACAAGTACGGAGATTTAGAGAAACTTTCAGACGTTTCTTCACTCGCTCGGTGGATTTTCCCCATGTGTTTGATTGTTTATTTCGGCATTATGACCCTGATTAAGGGCCACAGGGCTTTAAATTTAAACTTACAATAGCAATTAGATTCAAAACAGTTAAAAGCTTGGGTTTAGACTTAGGTTAGTATGAAGGAGTAGACTGAATTGGCTTTTTTTAATGGCGATTAGACACTCATCAAATGAAACGCTCACATTGATGAAACTGAAAAGTTTCACTCGTTTAAAACCTGCCTGATCAACTGTCAGAGTTTATGTCCCTAAGTTCTCATTCTCGGAGAAATAGAAATGAGTACATGTGAGCCCAAGCAGCACCTTTCTCTCTATCTCCATAGCAGTGGGCTTCCTGCCAAAGGATTGCTCAGCATTTACAAGACAGAATGAGAGAAGAGGTGGAGAGTCAGGGAGGGAGGAGGGGCAACATACAGTATGGGACTGTGGGGCTTAAAAAAGAGCAAAGGACCATGCAGCTCATGAAGAACGTGAGACAGACAGAAAGCAGCAGGACAGGCAGAGAAAGCAGACACACGCAGCTTATCTGACTCTAATTGCCCCATACAACACACACACACTTAGAGGAAAAAGCAGATAGGAAAACAGCACACACATTTATTGACTTTCACAGGCAAACAGACATTTTCTCTCTCACACACATTCAGGAAGAAGCAGCAGCAGCATGTTTCTGAGGTTCCTTCGGGCAGCGAGCCTGCTGTCGATGTGTTTGTGTCTGCCTTCAGACTACGAGGATGCTATCGAGTTCAACTACGGTCCCTCCTACTACAATGAAATCGCAGAGGAAGAGACGCCAGCACGTAAGTGTGGAAATGTGTGTGCATGTGTGAGTGCTGGGCCTGCACCTTTATCAAATCAAGGCTCTCGGATGTATCGACCGTATTAATTGTCAAAAGCATGAAATTGAGTTTCTTTTTTTAGATTCATGTATGGATGAGTAAGACTGGGACACTAGTTTCCACAACACTTTTGTCTTTTGATGTATTGTGCATCAGCAACAAAAAAAATGGGAAGAAGCTGTAGAATCGGATCGATATGATAATCGAGGAGGAGGGTGAAAGAAGGTCTGATGAAGAAGAGGGTAAAAAAGCAAATCTTTCACAGCTTGAGAAAAAACTGAAAATTCTCCACAAGTTGGTGTCTTTAAATAAATAAAGAAGGAAAAGAAAAGAAGAGCAGAGATTAGAGATTAACATGTATGTGGTTTGTATAGTGTACAGGCAGCTGGCAGAGACAGAGTTTCTGTAGGAGTTTATAGCCACAATCAGCGGTCACCAACAGCAGAAACACTTTGGTATATCTTTAAGAAATTCCTCTCTCAGCTGTCGTTTAGACCTGTATGTGTGGGATGAAAAGAGCGATGAATGAAAGGGAGAAAGTGAGAGTGAGTGTTTGTGTTTTTTAAGTGTCCAACTGGCCCTCCGCAGCTCGAATTTTGCATTTGTTAGCTGTTTAAAACCTGGCAGGAGGTGTAATTGTGGCACTAGCGGTTAACAGGCAGAAAATAGTCTGGGATATGATTAAAGAGGTAAATATTATACTGGGCGAAACAAATGACTGAGAATAGTAAAACAAACAAACACAGTTTCCAGCAGCAGAGGTGGGGGGTTGTTTTGGCCCCCCAGAGAGGGTGCAAGAAGGAGAAAATCACGTGAGTTTGTGTGTAGGTCTGTGAGAGGTCAAAAAGCTCGAAGGAGACACAGATCACTGCTTCTGACCTGCTCAAATCTCCGAATCTCTGAGAGGAATTTGAATTAATGAGGCCACATGACAGGGGTCATGACACGGTAAATTTCAAAATGAATGACAGGCTAGAAAAATAACATGTAGCAGACGAGTGGACCAATTTGTTGAGTTATGCTTTGCTCAAACACACAGACACTGACTAGTTGTAAAAGGAGCATACTGCTGAGTACTGCCACTCAATATAGAAGCTATTCAGTGCTTATTTCCTGTTGAATACTGCTTAAATGTGCAGTAATTTGGAGATTATTTCATTTTAAAAATTTACTCAATTTACTCAAGTTCACACAAGCTCAAGTTAGAGCTTTAACAAATGAAAACATACATAAAAATTCTTATTTATTTTCAATATTGTCAAGTTACTTATTGTCAGCAGATTAGACATGTGACCCACAGAGCTGACAATGAGCCTTCTAAACAAAAAAGAGGCTAGTTTTAAGCTAATATTATGCTAGCTAATTTGAAGCTTGAGTGTCCTGAAAAGAAATAAATCATATTTTCCATTGATAATCATCTTGATTACATTCTCACATCATATGAGAGTTTATTCGCTAAGTATCCAGTGTCCCACAATGTTTGAATCACTTCAAAGAAGCTTTCACTAACGCCAGCTAACAGCCGCTATCAGAGACTAATAGCAGCTAACAGTGGCTAGCACTGGCAAAAACAGCAGTGCTTACCAACAGAAAAGTTCAGGATATCCTTAACAACACACCTCACTGTTATCAAACAGAAGTGAGCTTTAATTACTTACTGACGCATATTGAAATCCTTTCACAAACTTTATCAGCCTCCTCCAGAGTAAATAGACATGGACACCTAGCATATTGACAGCTGAGGTAAACAGCAAACTCACAGCCTTCACTCTATGGATGAACAGCAGCTAGAGTTGTTTGTCCTACACTGGCTACCGTAGCTAGGATTTTGCACTTGAATCGGGAAGGGTAAGAAAACTGAATTCAGCTGAATGCAATCTGCAATCTACTGGCATCTAGTGGTGAGATTTTGCACATCGTACCTTTAAACAATTTTAAATATACATTTAGAGTAGATCATCGAAGTAACCACTGACATCTTTAAAAACTAGGGTCTATGCATCTAAAAGTTATTATTTTCACCCACTTACACTCTCTTCTACTAAAATCACTCAAAAACCCTTAGATTGAGAAGCCCCAGGGTCCAAAGTGCATGACCCTTATGTCTAATTGACTTTGAGCACTGAGAACAGGAAGCCAAAACAAACTGTGTAGGTCTGTAATAGTACCCCTCTGGAATATGTCTGCAGGTATAAACAGAGGTCAAAAAGGCTCAACAGTTAACCAGAACAGCGTGTCTGATACAGTGACCTACATATTCTTACTCCTGGCTTTGTTTTATCCCCCTTTTCCATATGTTTCGGAATACTCATGCTATCTCTCCCAATGTTGTCAGCAGGTCTTGACCTTCCTTTTCAACCCCCCACACCGCCCATCTGTCTCCTCATTCACAGCAGAAAACCCAATAAGCTCACAGGAAAAGCTCCTGCTTTGTGAGCTATTTGTCAGATTTCATTCTCACCCTCTTTCTCCCAACAACTTAACATCCTCTTCTGCGCTTTTACCATCTTCCTCCAACTATGCCCACTAATGCTTTTGTGGCAGTCAGCTATTCAAGCAGAATTAAATCCATTTCCTTCTTAAGATTGAAGTTTACCTTAAAGTTTCTGTTAAAGCTGGAAGAAAATTGGAAATGAATTTAAACATATCCTGCATGCACACTTTCAAGCTACAGCCGCAACTCCATCTGGCAAATAACTGCAAAAAGTAAAAGCTCAGTTTTTTTCAGCTAAACAGACACTTTTTCTAAATAAAAGTCTGATACGTTGGTGATCTTTTTTCATATATTCAGCACTTTTCCTATATTGATACATAACTGATAATGGAGTAACTGAATTCCGTATTCTTATTTTTTTTCCTGTCTTAGTGGCCTTACATATACATTAAGTATAAATGCACAATTTAAGAATAAGACGTGCAATTTCTCTGGACCTGTTCAATGACAAAGTTAATGAATCTTGATATGATTTCAGTAGAGTTCCTGAGGAGTAACTCTTAGATTCTTTTTGCAGGAAAAGTCCATCTGGATCTCTGGGGAGGTGCAGGAGATAGGGGTGTGGCTAGCTCTAGAAGCTGTAGAAACCTGAATGAGTTCATCGTCTGTTGGATGTTTAAACTTTTCTCTTTTTCTTCTTTTTACCTTCTCTCTTTGCAGCCACACCAACTTCAGCCCCCTGCCGTTCTTCAGAACTGACCAAATGGGACAAGATGTTCTCCATGTTGGAGAACAGTCAAATGAGGGAGAACATGCTGCTTCAGTATGCCGATGATATCATCAAGGTGGAGATGGGGTCACTGCGCAGTGAAATGTTAAGGTCGGTTGTAAGACTGAGAAGTCATGCAATCAGCATCAGGTCATTATGGTTGAAGATGAGCAGCAGAGAAATGAGTGTTTGTGATTAAGCCAAAGACAATTCAAGGTCTCAGCAACCTAGACAGGACTAAAAATAAAATGGTAAACGGCCTGTATAAAAGTGTAATCAGATTTAATCATTTCATCACTTTGCTTAAAAAAGCAAAGTGATGAAATGCCCATCGCCTCATTAATGTAGCTCTGCTTCAAATTAATTTAGCAGATTTCTCAGCAACTATAGCAAATTCCTTGTCTGCACATGTTTAAACCTCTTCAGCTGAAAGGGTTCAAATCACTCATATTGATTCTTGGTTCTATATTGTCAGGTTTGTAGCTCAGTATGGTGGGTCCTGTGGGGCAGCGGTGGAGAATGCAGGAAGAAGGATGGAAATGCAGCTGAACAGCCGTCTCAGAGAGACTCTGGAGCCCCTCAAACTCAGACATCAGGATTCTCCTGCGGCTGCTGCAGGGAATTCCAACCAGCTGGAGACAATGCTACAAGAGCTCCTCTCTGCAGCACAAACACAAGCATCCAGACTTTCCAAGCTGGAGACCAGCTGCTTTAGCAGCCCAGGAGGGATGAATACCAAGGCAGGATTTCATCCTCTGAGGGGTGGAGAGCAGGGGCACCATGAGCAAGAAGTCACAACAACAGAGGCCACTTTAGAAATGGTGCTGGCTGCACTGCAAGAAGTGAAGGTGGAGATGGAGGAAGCCCTGAGATCTTCGAGGCAAAGATTCTTGCCTGCAGGTATAACACTGACCTTACTATCAACCATCCCTATTTGTCTTAAACTGTGATTTCCTGTAATTTCTATTTGTGTTCATAGCTCTGAAACAACACCCTGCTTAATTTTTTTCTGTATTAATTCATTCTGGAAATAAGAGATTCAGCTAAAGCTGTTTGCACCGGCAGATACTTACAAGTATTTGTAGAAATTTACAAGTAGGATTAGACTCAAGTAAAAACATGAAAAGATGATAACAAAGAAAAGCTTTGGACAAAACTCCTCATGGGTAATGAACCCTTATTGTAAATTGTTAGCAGAGTTAACTGGGTTCCCTGAAATTAGCACTGACTAATAAATATAAGATTAGGCTCAGCAAATTTAACTCAGGAGACTTGCAGCAGAGCATCACTGATATCAGTACAACAACTTTATTTCCTAGAATAAATCAAATGAAAGCCACAAAAGGGCTAAATTATACTCTTCATCTTATGCGTGCACTTATACACAAAATTATAAATCTGGCCTAAACAGTGAACAGAGGGAGGTGTAATCATTAGCCAGCTGCCGCAAAAACCACACCAAAAGAACCCTGGGAAAGTAGGACCAGATGGAAACCATCATGAGCGCACACAAACACAGAATGGATTTTTTCACTATTATATTCTGAGTGGCAGGAACCTGAAACGAGATCTCCGGTTTTAAATAGGGAGCGTGTCTGCTAACTGGAGGGAGAAAAAAAGCGAGTGAAAGAAAGAGGGCTGGAGAGAGAGAGAAAAATCTTGAGTTAAAACTCAATACTTAAAAATGCATGACAAAGAATGGAAAATGAGAGATGTTACGCTGTGTAATGTGCAAAATGTGCACAGTTCAGAACACATTTCCTCTCGCACACAATCAGGGCTGCAGAGTATCAAGCTCATCCTGATCAAACACCTGTGAGCTCTTCCTTTATGGAATAACTGTGAGCTTAAACAGGATTGTTTTATGCACACAGGATATACCGGGAACATTATGCAAACAACAGGAAATGATCCATAAACACAACTAAGAGTTTATATGCTTAAGCAGCAGGCAGTGCAAACACTGACTTGTATATTAGGGGTTATTAATGGGACTTACCAGATTGTTAGACAAAACTTTACCAGGATGTTTTCTTTGTTGTTCACAGCTGATTGTTGGGAGTATTTTTAAACAGTGTGTATTTAGTTACTTATTCCCCAACTCAGAGACTTATCTGGATTTATCAGGACCAAATTAGAAAACCCAATCTTAATTTTCTACAAGTTGGACAGGCGACACCAAGTCTGTAAGCCAGTTAAATCATTATTGCACATAAACAGTGATGATTTAGTTTCAAAGCGATGAAAATCAGAAAATCATAAACGGTTAATTTTATGATTTCATATAAGCGAAATAACTATAAATCGCTATTTCTAAAAAACACTCGGATGCTAGACTGGATGTAGCCACCCTGCTACACCCCCACCTCACACCAGCTCCAATAATTCAGCGCTGACAATGCTGACAATGTGCAGTTACACTCCATTATGTAACGCAGACCAAATTGCCTAAAAGGCTTCAGTCAAAGGTGGTATACACATATGCCACACACATTTTTCTCTATTTCACGTGCCAAAAAACTAACCAACAAAAGTTGGTTTGACATTACAGTGTCAAACAGTGAGAGAGTGACTTTGAGACAGTGTGTGTTTGAATGAGTAAAAACAGAGAGGAATAAGGGGAAAAGGCGACGACACAAAGCATAAAAGATCCACGAACCAGATGACCCAGAGAGGTGTGTGTCTGTGCGTGAGGTGGTGGGACAGGAAAAAACTGCCAGTGATTCATGATCTCATCACCTGACCAGTAACTGAACTCTGACTGTGTCACATTCAATCACGCTCACGCTGCCACCTATTCATGTATTATATTATTATATACATATATTCACCTATGCCTTCACTTCATATACCGTGGTACAACAACAGTAGAGGCAGCCCCAGTAAAACCACAGGGGCCCAGTAACCTCAAGATAGTAATCTGACTTAATTAATCTAGCTTTAGATTTCAATTTATTTGTATTTTATATTTATCTCTTTAGGACTCCGTTAGTCTGTGTAGGAGATCAAGTCTTATGATGTAAAGTGGAACTCTGCAAGGGTAAATTTCAGGCCATTATTCTCCTTTTTTCCCCATCATACCAAATCACACATGGACAGAGCCCTGAGGGTCATCTGTTTGTTGTGCTTCATTTCATGTTCTTTCCCCTCTTTTGCTCCGTTTCTGCTCCTTCAAACATGTTCTCCTGCAAACACTTTCAACCTGCTTTTGTTGGGTAATTTTGTGGAACGCACCTTCGCAGCGGCCTCTGGGAATTTAAACCGATCCAGATCGGCACCAAATCGCAGCGGTTTCCTCGCTTCTCTGCCAAATTCAGTCAAATTTGGCTTCAAATTCTGCGTGTAATCCTGCCAAAAGACAGACAAACAATAAAAATGTAACGCCGCTTGCTGAGCTACCATTGTCTTTTCATTGTCATCATAGGTTATGCCCAACAAAATCTTTTTTTCATGAGTAACAACAAATTGACGTCCAATTTTGGGCCGTCACAGTTAAATGAAAAAGAAAACTTTGTAATGATCATATTAAATTCTCTAAACTGAACCACTATTACCACTGCAGCCGGGGGTAAAATATCTAGAATTTATTGTAATTTGTAGATTTTACCACAAATTACAGGCATCCTTTCTTACAAAATTTAAAATTATACTATTTCTGTGCAAACAGGAGGATTTATTATTGCTGGATGAGTGCTTGAGTACTATATATGGCATAACTTCAGCCCTGATCCTCTTATCTTCCTGTTGGCTAGGTTGTGAGATGGCCCTCCTCTTCCCAATGCGTTCCAGTCGAATCTACACCTCTATCATACCAGATGTCCCCGTCTCCCTGTCCTCCTTCACTGTCTGCATGTGGTTCAAACCAACCAGCATCTCCAACAAAACAGTGCTGTTCACCTATGGAAACCGCCGCAATCCATATGAGATCCAGCTGCTGCTCAGGCGGAACACTGCCCTCTTCACCATCGGAGGAGAAGCTCACCTGGTGGAGGCACGGGGAGTGGTGAACCCAGGGCGGTGGACCCACTTGTGTGGGGCTTGGTCCTCAGAGCAGGGCCTGGCCTCCCTATGGGCGGATGGCGTGAAGGTAGCGTCCACTCCCGGAGTGGCCGAAGGACACGTCTTACCCGACGGCGGCTCCCTCCAGCTGGGTCAGGAAAGGAACGGCTGCTGTCCTCCGTCCTTAAGCAGCGGGAGCAGCGTGGCAGGGTTTGAGGCGGGATTCGACTCTAAGCTGGCATTTGCGGGGAAGATGACGGGGGTGAACATGTGGGACAAAGTGCTGTCAGAGGACAAGATTTCCCAGCTGTCTTTGCGGGAAGGCCATGGCTGTGAGCAGAGCGGGAACATAGTGGCGTGGGGTGTAACGGAGATGGTGCCGCACGGAGGCGCTCAGTTCATCTAATAGTGCATACTCTTCACTATGATCATCATTTCCACAACATTGTAAGAGTTAAATGCTCAAAGTGAAAAGACTTACAGCTGCTTTTATCATCTTTCTTCCTATAATTAAACATTTTCGTTGTTTCATTGTAGCAGAGACCACAATTTTCCTCCTCATCTCACTTTTTATTACTGTAACTGCTAATACTGCAGTTTTGAACTTTGGGCATGTTCAAATAAGACAAAATCAATGCTGTGAGAGACTTAAGTTTACTTTTTTCACCAAGCCTTTTGAACTGAGACAGTAATACACACACACAAAAAACACACTGATGCACAGTCATCTTAGAAAACGTGTAGTTTCGCCGAGAACGTGCTGCAAGCAGTTTTTACCAAAGACTCAGTTAGAGTGCAAGAAAGACAAAGAGTCTATTGTGAAAGTAAACGGGTTCTGAGCCAGTAAACAGAGTAATCACCAGACAGCCACGCAGCACAAGTAAAAGAGGGGTCTCTGACTATTACAAGTGATTATCTTGTATTGCACAACATGTGTTTTTTAGAGTACCAAAGCATTTTTCATCTTTCTGTTGAGATGGCGAGTGCAGTTCATCAAAACATGCAAAAAAAAAAAAAAATAGAAACCCAAACAGAGGAAAATGTTCTCCTTTTTTTTTTTTTAAGCATTTTAACTATTAATGTAACAGAAAAGACATTTGCTTTTATACCTTTTAAGTTTTGTGGGTACAATTAGCCATGTAATCCAACCCCATTGCAACCAAAAGCACAGGCATCATACTGTTACCTGTGACTGAAAACTGCTGTACTTGTTATCATTTTAAGCATGACTGACTGTTAACTACAAATGTGCTTTTTTAACTAGCTTACTATTTTTTTTTATTGCCATGAACTTTTTTTTGAAAGCTTTGAAAGAATTTCCAAACAATATATTTCTAAATTTGTACTCAGTGTTTACATTCATACGAGTTACGTAACTCCTGTTTTGCTTTCGGTTTCTTTGTCAGTGCATAGTTGTCATTTAAGTAGAAGGTAAAGTTTTCTTTTGATCCTGCATAAAGTAAGAAGAGTAAAACTGTTGAATTTGCCATGTGAGGTTTGATAAAAGAAAGTGAGGATAATGTTTACACAGTCTTTTATGAACTAACTTGTCTTGTATTATACTGTAAATTGTTTTTATTATTGTGAAAATGTAAAACTGAATGTATTTTGTACATAAATATATTTTTCATAACAGGACTAGATTAAATAAGTGAGGTATGAATAAAAAAGTATCCACTGTCCAAATTAGGAGTGTTTATGTATTTTTTTCAAAATTTAAAATATTCAATTTTGACAAGATTTCCAACACCACTCCGTACCACGACAAACCCTCCACCGTGTTTTACAGATGGCTGTAGACACTAACTGTTGTATTTATCTCCTGAACTCCTCTTTACATACTGACAATGACTTGAATCAGAAATTTTTAATCTGGAACAGAACTGTTGAGTGATTTTCAGTCCAGTTCTTGAGTAATGTGGCATATTTCAGCATTTCCTTCCTGTTTCCCTTCCGTAAGAACTACTTCTTGACAGCCGTCCTTCCACTGAGATGATGTCTGATGAGGCTTCAGCGAACAGTAGACAATCAGCTGAAGGGCAGATCCACCTCTGAGGGTCTGTGTCAGGACTTTGCTGGATTTATTTCTATTTCTGTAAGTACATGGATTTCAGATACTGTTCACCTGCTATAGATAGTTTTTCTTAGATCTGCCACTTCCCCTTTAGTGTTCCACTTCTTCAGTTTCCTCAAACTTTTTATGTACACACTGCACAACGTGCTGAGATGTGCCAAAGTTAACAGCTGTTTGGGAATCTCTTTATATCTGGTCACTGTTGGCATTGTTCACATTTTCAGCTAAAGAAATGGGAACAAATTAAATGTTTTTGTAACAAAGTTATTGAGGATACTGTTTAAATTTGGTTCTTTGCTATGTTGTTTGAATGAAACTCAAAGCCGTTTTTTTAAACTTATCTGGTGCAAAATCACAACAAAAGTTGCATCAAGGCATTTTATAGTGTAAGGTACACACACTGGTTCATCCCTTGAGTTAGGTGTCTTTTTATGCTTTTTAGGTCAGTGTGAAGCGGCTTGAAAAATATTCCTCTGAAAAGTGTGAGGTACAAGGAAAAAACAGACAATTAAAATTTTAAAAGGCTTCACAAAGCCTGGAGAAGTATCGCTCAAGATCACTTAAAAAATTACAAGACAATCTGCCTCCTTGGAAGCAAAACATAAAGAAATAAGGAGCGGCCCAAAACTTTTGCACAGCACTCGATGTCACAACCACACTTTTGCAAATTATACTGTATTTAATCTCTTGCTGATTAAAATTGATTCAGTGATGTCTGCGACTGTGGGGAAATTGCCTGCAGACTTTCTGCAGCTCACATATGCTTACAGTTTACTGCTGCACATCCTGCTTGGACCCAGTTTCTTCCCGCAGCTACAACCTCCGTGTAACTGTGACCTGTTACAGAATCACCTTCCACATTCACTCACATACATTTCACCGAGTCTTCACTCACTTTTCTCGCCCTGCCATGTATTAACCTTACAGTCCAAGGAAGAGCCAAAACGGACGCGCAGCTTTGATAGATAGACGACAGATTCCAAGCCTCTCTGCTAATTTAAGGTTTTACTCAGAGATTGAAAGAACCCTTGGCTCTAAACCCCTGTGGGGCCAAACGGTGAGTGCGTGTGAGACTGCTGTAGCTATAAAACCTTCACCCAGTATCCTGCTGTTGGTTTCCTGTAACTAGGAATCACACACACATGCTTATTAAGCACGGAACTCACTATTCTCCTATAAGACCGAAACTCAACACGCACCACCAAGGACAAGACGAAGGAGAAGAAGAAAATATCGCATGTGGCAACAGACGCACACGCATGTTGGCGTCTAGGTTTCAGAACAAAGGTTCGCAGGCTTCTGGCTTGTTAAAGACGTCACCATGAGGTTTAAATGGTTACAGTACGGCACATTTAGAAGGTGCTCAAACTTGGAAACCGTCATGGTTACATTAAAAAGTGCAGAATGAAAGATAAATGTGAACTTGCTACAAATTTTTAAAAAAGCCTTCGAGCAGGACTTGCTCACTTTCATTTGGTTTCTCATTCCAGATTCAATATCAGTCGGTCGATCCCTGTCGAGCTGGATTACAGCCACCGGACTACTTAAGTGTACAGAACTTTCAAACTATCGTGTTTTCTGTCTCTTTTATTTCCCTTTTCTCTGCTTCTTTCTGAGCCCACAAAGAAGGCTAGGTATTCGTGTGCACCTTCATGCCCAGTAGTGTAGTAAAAGGTGATGACTTTGAGGGTGTCGTGTATCTAGTGGAAAGAAATGTTAGAGCTATATTTTTAAAACAGCCGTTACATACATGCATCTCTGGAGGAGCCGGCAATCAGGAACTCGATACGTGCGGAGACTACAGAGTGCAAATGTTACATTACAGTGACACTGAGGTATTATTATTACCTTCCCTAATTTATCAGATTCATAAGCCTGACTGTGATGTAAAACTCTGCGAGGGCCAACGACTCAAACAGCCAGAATCCTGGGATGATATGTAGAAAAATCCAAATGTGAGTAAACCACAGTTTAGTGTAATAGCACATTGAGCATATTGTTTGTAGCATGAATCCCTGTATTTTTCACTATTTTTATTGCGTAACAGTGCGTGTCTGTATTTGCAAGTTGTTGCTTTTATTCCATTCCTTTGTGCTTTGGCTGATTGAATGTGGTGAAAGCATTTTGTAGGGAAAAGTTGTTTATTTAGTCATCATTTAGCAGCAGTTACTTCAATCTTAAGTCTTTTTGGCAGCTTCTCTTTTCTTCCCCCTCGTATTTCATGTATCCAAATGAAAATAAAAAGACATCCCTTTTTTTCTCTTTTTGTTAAGAAACCAGTAACACATTTATGGACTATGGGTGCTAATTGTCTTGCATCTATAATCAAAGCCCAAATCTGGCAAAAACTCACCTGGAAAACCAGATAGTGAGGAGATAATCTGTTTCATGTGCCGAGCTGCTGGCAGAACAGTGGGAGCATCGAGCACCACTTTGGTGGGCATCCCACTGTGGTACAGTGTGAGGTAATTAGTGTGTGTGTCTGCACATGAGGTTATAGGTTCAACATGTTCCCAGAGGCACTGACTGATTCACATAAAAAAACATAACAGCACATCCAAATACATATACTCAGGCCCTCCCTGTATTATCCTACGATCATGTGTGCGTGTGAGGGAGCATGTGTGCCTCAGGGTAAACAGATCTCCATTAAGCAGGGCTGACTATGGACCCTGGACCTTTAGGGACCTCACTAATGAGCAACATGTATGTTAAAAAGGGGTTAAAAGGGCTTCAAAAAAACATAGTGGGCGTAGCCTTCTGTAACCACTGACTGGAGGTCAGCTCAGTTACCCTCTCTGACCTGAGCTGTTAAGTAGGGAAGTTGAAGAAAACAGTAATGAGATCAGTGCCTGAGGACAATGTCACCTTATACTCCTCCCCAGTCCTCCCTTCCCTCACATTAGTTCTGCCTCCAGAGCATGTAGGTATTATCGGGCTTTCAGGAGAGATATTTAAAAAGAATGACATGAAAGCGATTAATAGGCAAAAACAACCACCCTGCATTAGATGTCTTGATCAAAAAAGAGAGAAAGTAGAAGCATTTACAAAGACTTTCTGTAGCATCCACAGGGGCTACGGCAAGAAACACTGTGCAAACAAAAAAGGTAGCAGTTCTCCTTCCTCCAAACTAATTCTTATACATCAAAGCTCCACGAGGGAAACAATGACGCATGTGACATGCATTGTATCACCACATTGGTTAGCTACAACTGCAGATTACAATAATAATTCCATTTTCCACTCCAGTAAAAACAGCTGATCCTATTGTTTCAGATCTACTAGGATCCCTCGTGGTACAAACGTGCTGTTCCTACAAGCCAAGACAACAACTACATTAAAAGACATTAAGTCCTGTAACACCCCTGTTAGAAAATCCATTGCAATTTCAGTTCTTCTCCAAAGCTCTTACAGTCTCAAACCACCCACACACGTACTCGTTGTAGTTTCCCTACAAAATTAAGGTAACCAGTTTCCTTTCTTGTGTGCGAGCATTTGTACGTGTATCCTACCTCCCAGCACGCTGATTGTTATGGCCTCTGTGTGTTCAGCCAGCAGATCGGCCTTGGCTATAGCGGCCAGAGAGAGGTAACTGGACATGTTCCTGCTCAGCTCCCTGTTGCCTCTCTGCAGGAACCGCACGGCCACCGGGACAGCCAGCACCATGACCGAAGGACAACTGTAGTTCTGCAGAGACATGTTATAGGAGAGGAGACACTCTGTTAAAGACGACATTCTCACAGTAAATATTTGTTTTCTAACATTTTAAGAGACATGCCAGCGACTGGTCAAAGCAGCACACGTCCACAGATAAAATGCTTTTGTTTTTGTAAAGTGAGCATGATTGGCAATCACTGTAACTTTGAACAAGGGGACACAGAGCGAGCGCATTCACAGAGAAATCAGTCTGACTTGAATTAAGCTCACTTCTTAAAAGGAAAGGGCAGCAAAGCAGGCTTAATTTTACAGTCCTGACCTTTACTTCACATTATCTATAAAGGAGAGTAAGAAGATCAGATGCCTGTCCTTTGCTGTTTCTGATCTTTCTGAACAACATGTGCATGGTGTTAACGCTCATTAGAACAGACAGTACAGCCTAAAGATCCTCATTAACAGCAAGCCACGCATCAAATATATTTAGTAACTTGAAACAAAGAGCGCCAGCAGTACTTTCCTCAACCCATGTGATAAGTGCCACAGAGATTAAAACGGGCTATAAGAATGAAGAACAGGGGGAGAGACTGCATTGTATTGAAAGACATATGCACAAGTTTGTGCTCTGAACGCTCACGGACCGCGGGATCGGGATTGAAAATGCGCCAGCACCCTCCAGAGGACAGTTTGATACGAACGTCGTGTTCACTGCCGCTCACATATATTTATTTAACACTTGTGAACCCACATCTAAAACATCTGCTTCACATTTGTTTCTATTCACACACCTAAGGCCTCTAAGTCTTTACTATATATATCTATTTTCAAGATTGATCTTTTATGTCTATCATCAAAAACTGCTCAATCAATGATTTGGGGAGTGTAGTCTCTCGCTGTCATGCCTCTGGTTTTCCACATGGTGGCAGTGCAGGCACTGCAAAAACTATTTTACCCACTAATATAAACTGTGTAAACACCTTCACTTCCTTTATTATCAGGCACCAAAATATAGAAGAATCACCATGAAATGCAGTGTTGGCACTGGAGCTGAGACGTTTTAGAGCACGAACTGTTTTTAGTCTGTCTAAAGAGGGACGATCTGAACACTCAGTGTGAAGCCTGTCATGTTTGACAGCTACAGGCAGCAGGCATGAGGTGCCGGTAGTGTTCTTCTTTTGGCACATGAATTAATGTATTGATTTATTAATCTTTCCTGTCATCTTGTACTACACTTCAATGACAACGCACGTCAAAGAGCTCATATGACATGAATCGTCTCTCCTTTTCTCTGAGGGAGTTTCTGTGGGAAAATAAGACAAGTGTCTATAATTCAAAATGACAGGGAGGGAAAGAGAGAACGGAAGGGGTCAGAGATAAAGGTGGATGGAGGGCAAGAGAGGAAGGAAAGAGATGTGGAAAAATGACATGAAGAGAAACAGATTTTTAGAGATAAAGAAAAAGAGAAAAGGAATGGCTGTCCTGATAAGTGCAGGAGCTCAGACATCGGAGCCAGAAGGCGCCGTCAGAGCTGTCAGAACTTTTAACCTCACTTTTGTGTGTGTGTGTGTGTGTGTGTGTGTGTGTGTGTTTCCTGAGGAGTCAGTCTCATTATGGTGGTATTAACCACATTCCCTTTCCCAAGAAAAAAGTGGGAGGGAGAGAAAGAAGGTGGAGGGGAGTCACTCTGCTTTTATACCTTTCAGCACTGGAGGTCTGAAAATGGGGAAGGTAGGTGAGTTTTAAATGTACATTTTCATGCCTCCCCCCCCAGCAGTGATTACATAAAGTATATTTGCTCTTAAAGGGAAACTTCCCCGCTGGAGATCATGTATTATTAATTTTTATTTTAACTCTTCTGCTTGTACCGTTTTGTGAGGGTTTTTTCCCCTCGTGCACCAACGTTGCCTTCCTTCACTTGTTTTCCCCGCAAAGCCTTTACACCCTCGTGTTTACCACCAATGCTTTAAAGAGCTTTAGCATAGCATTGCTCACGTGCATTAAAAAAAAACATGCAACCAGCCCCAAAACTATAACCTGTCAAAGGTCACATGACAAAGAGGAAGACGAAAGAAGTGCTTTTTTCTGTTTTCTTTACATTTTTCTACTCAAATTTGATTATGCCCGTTTTCTGATGAGCTTGACAGTTTTACTTCTTAGAGAAGAAAACTATTACCAAACCTTTAATACAACAGCTATTGATGAAGTCTAATGTAGTGCATATCAATGCATCAGTAAAATATGTTATAGCCAAGTGCTCCCAATGGCCTTTTTCCATTCTGTTATAGGTGTGTGGCTGAGATGAAAGGGAATGTTTGAGTACTTTGCAAAAGTCTGAGCCCACTCCTCATTTTTTTACGTTTTGTTAGGAAAATGGAAAATATGTGCAATGAATTATTAAAACTCGTACAAATATATATGGAAATCCAGTATACAAGCCAAAAACAGAGTTTGAGCAATTTTAAAGATGAGTGAATATTTGCAGCGACCACCTTTATTATTCAACACAGCCTGAACTCTCTTAGGCAGCTCTCTTGTCATTTTTTTAAGTAGTCTTCAGGAAAAGTTCTCCAGATTTCTTAAAGGAGATTTAAAGCTCTTCTAAGGATGTTTTCCTGATGGTATTAAATGGTGAATCAAAATCTGATGGCACTTTTCTGCGTTCGTCAATTTTGACAAGATCTCTGACACCACTGACTGAAATGCAGCTGCAAACCATGACAGAGCCTCCACGGTGTTTTGCTGATGCTTGTAAAAATGGTAAAATGGTAAATGGCCTGTATTTATATAGCGCTTTACTAGTCCCTAAGGACCCCAAAGTGCTTTACATATCCAGTCATCCACCCATTCACACACAGGTGATGGCAGCTACATTGTAGCCACAGCCACCCTGGGGCGCACTGACAGAGGCGAGGCTGCCGGACACTGGCGCCACCGGGCCCTCTGACCACCACCAGTAGGCAACGGGTGAAGTGTCTTGCCCAAGGACACAACGACCGAGACTGTCCAAGCCGGGGCTCGAACCGGCAACCTTCCGATTACAAGGCGAACTCTCAACTCTTGAGCCACGATCGCCCCAGACGCTCACTGTTGTATCTCTCTCCTGACCTCCTCTGCACATACTGACAATGATTTGAATCAGAAATTTGAGATTTGGATTAATCCCTCAATCAGACCTGTTGCCAATGATTTTCAGTCCAGTTGTTGTATAATCCAAAGAAAACTTTTGAAAGACTTTCAGAAACACTAAAAAACTATCGCTCAAGACCACTGACAACAAAGTCTGGCCCCTCAGAAAGAAAATTTTAAAAAAGAGGGATGGCTTGGGACTTTTGCACCGTACTGTAAATTTTAAGTTTCATCCCATGAGCACTAAAAGTATCTTGGAGCTAAATACCCTAAACACACATAATATCCTGAGAGGTTTCTGAGTATGTGTGTCCTTTATGTGCTTCAGGTAAAACAAACAATGATGTGTGCATGCGAGCGTGTGTGTGTATACCTGCAGGATACAGCTGGTGATGTCAGAGGCTATCTTAGCATGCGGAGTGTCCTCTGTGTTTTCACCTTGCGGGGTGAGGTTATGCTCCAGACAGGACTCCCACAGTCCCACCAGAGCCGTGCTGTGTCGCTCGATGGAGCCCGTCTCCCTTATGGCTGTGGTGATGCGTGTTATGCAAATCTCCACCACTGCCTGGTCATTGTCATTGGTCAAATAGTCCTGTCAGCCAGCAACAGGATGCAAAATTAGGAATACAATGATAAAGTAAGGACAAAAGCAATGAATTATGCATAAGGGCATAAATAATTAATGGCATCTGCTTTGTAATTTTTGAATAAATACCAACTGTGTGTGTTGGTTGCACTGATCTAAACACATCAACTTACCGGTGAGCAGGAGATTGCCTTAATCTGGTCCAGAGCTTGAGACAGACAGTCTTCAATGTCTGCGTCCTCCAGAGAGAACAGATCACCTGCTCTGGACAGATCCCTCTGGCCGAGCACTTGGCTAAACAGCTGGTGCATCCTTGTCCTGGTTTAGGACCTTGAGACGAGCCTGGGACGGCCTCCGCACAGTTTAAGATCACTTAACTGAGAAAGTCGCTGACATAATGTCTTGAATACCATAGCAACTTTTCCTTCACCTCCTGGTTTTAGAAAGATATTTAAATAGAAGACTCTTTTCTGCCAGGGATGGGAGAAAGCAAGTCTTTCTAAAATGCAATAAAGCTGAAATATATGAAGATTTTCAGGCACACACTTTTATACAGAAAGAAATATCGAATGCATCGTATTAGGACTTGATAGTTTTATAATTTTTGTTAAAATCCTCTCCGGCGCAGTCCAGAATCAGGTAAGTTTGACGGGTTTGGCCCAACATTTTTCTGGGTCTGCCTGAGGCCTGTTACCATGGAGACAGGGCAGTCCTTCTGCAGCTGAGTCCTGAAGGAGAAAGGACAAAAAAAGAGAGAGTGAAGGATTAAATTAACTAAAGAGAAGGAAATGCTGGGATCGTCATTTTGCACACAAAATCGTCTTCCAGGAAGAGATCATTTGAAAAGCTGGGAAAATTAATTCGGAGCAAGTCAGAGATACTGTCGAGCATCGGATATTTAATTTTGCATGTGATTTTTGCTCTCCAAAACATCTCAATTAAAGGAGTAGTCGTGCATAAGAAACAAAATTTCATTGCAAGACATAGACATGAAGATTGATACAACTCTTATCTGTTAAAAATACTGCTTATTTTAGCTTAGTCTAAATCCTGGAAACAAAAAGGTTCAGCATGAATTTCACATTCTGTTTGTTGTACCGATTAAACAAATAAGATGTGCATTAGTTAGCTGCAGGTTAATTGTGTTTTCTTTTAAAAGGACCTAATAGTCCAACCAGTTGAATCCTGTTCCTAACCATTTTATTACAGTTAAAGCGCAGGATTCCCAGTGTAGAGGGTTCAGTTGGGGGCAGTGGGCGTAGTCCTTTAACTAGCTTGTGTATTTATGGCCCCAAGTCCCATAACAACACAACGGTGCAGTAAAAATGTCCATACAGCTGTGACAGAGCTTTGAACCTCAAAATGGCCACTGTGCTAGAGATGCAACTGTGTGTGAAAGCTCACCTGTGTGAGATGTAGAAAACTACAGACTGAAATTCACCATTCTGCCTGTCTCTGGTAAATGGACTGGTTCTTATATAGTGCACTTCTACTCTACAACATGCCTCTCATTTGGAGAAAAGTTGCTGGGGCAGCATGTGAATGTGGGACTGAAGGTAAAAGCATGTGCTCCACTCCAGAGACCTGTGTGTTGGCATCGCTAAGTTATAGTAAATAAATAATCTTACATCTAAATCTTAGTCAGACAGCATTTAATCATATCGCACATATTTAGAAAATGATAGCAGGGAGCATAGCACAAAAGTTAAAAGGGAGTCCCTGGCCCGCTGCCCAAATCAGAGTCTGACCACAAGTTCTCAGTTAAAGCCCGTTATTTATTAATGCATACCAATATCTGAGAGCAAATTACTCCAGGGTGAACCAACCACTTGAAATTACTTGACATTTTTTTTCTTCATCTTTGTCTGTTTAAAAAAAGAAACCTGACTTCACCTCTAAATGCACTTTGTTTATCTGTGTGTGTATTTATTGGACTCTGACTCTAAGCGCTATGCACTCAGACCTAGCTCATATGTACAAATGGCAAATAAAAGTTTTCATCTTTATCTATTGTATTTACATAAATGAAAACAAAACTGAATGAAAGGCACGTGGTAAGCCTAACACCCTAAAATAAGCAAAGCAGAAGAAAACTGTGCAAAAGATAAATGCAGTTCACGCCCTCTGCTTCACTGACATAAACAACATGTGGGTTAATCGTTTGCAAAGAGCTGCAAAGGTCTCTAAACAAGAAACACGCATTTTCACAGAGGTTTACCGGTCGAGGATGGAAACAGGGCTTTTAAAATGGCCAGACGTTGACCTGCAGGTACACTCAAAGATCCTCAAAGCTAGAAAAAAAAGAAATAACTTACTAAACTGCAAGAAATGCAATAACAGCCATAACACCGACGTCTTCCAAAAGACCAAGAGAGCGCGTCTGCCATCACATTCTCTCTGCACAAGGAGCGACCACCTCACGAATCTGGATGGAGTATTTGGAGTAAAAAAAACAAGAGGTTTATGATCGGTGTACACAAAACATTTTTTTTGTGTAAAAACTGGGTGATCCATAGCACGCTTATCGTCCTGCAGCAACGCAGCACCAGCACCGCTGACCCCCAGCAAAATCCAGTTTAAAAGGACGAGTAAAGTCAGGATGTGTGCTGCAGAGGAGAGCTTTGGCAGACTGTATCTCTGCCCTCTTTTCAGCAGCATGAGTAAGTTAAAACATGATAATAATATGTTGCATATCTGGTGCAACTCTAACTGTTATACTCTACACTATAGCACAAATAATGTATTATAATGATTGGTAAAGTAAATAAAGGTAATGAGTCGAACAGAATACACAGTGTCCTGGTGTTATGAATGGAGTTCAAAGTTGTGGTAACTGAAAAGTAGCATGTTAACCATTTACTTGCATTACTGTTACTCTTGTCAGCTTCAATTAAACATTAAATCATTCACACCGGAGCGACGCCGGAAGGGCAAAGGATTACATATGCACACGCACACATATACACACCCACTGAGACTGCTTCTAAAAGTGTGACATATCACTGGCTTAGCGCTCCTTATTTTCTATACAGAAATGTAAACACGTAAACGCGCTGCTGTTCTCGCCGTTGTCGCTGCTTTCTGGGCGGTTTGAAGTATTCGCGCACGCCTTCTTTCTGAAGCAGCCACCCGGCGTGTCTGCTGCCTGTGATCACGATGACTTTGCTCACAGCAGAACTCTGCCTCCTTTGAGAGGACGAGCAGCTAAACATATGTATCTGTGTCATTTTCTGCTTCCTGCACCAGCTTCCCTCTACAATCAGACATCGTCTCATCCTCGCACCGTTTCACTGAAAGCCACACTGGAGCGAGCCCAAGCCAGACCAAAAGGAACGCACAAAGCTGACCACTTGGGAGGCCGTTATCTGTCCTGCCAAGCCAGCGACGGCCATGGAAACCCAACCATTGCCAGGATACCACATCGGGAATTCTTACTGGTCCGAGCTGTGGCTTTGGGACCGAAACAACAAAACAGCCATGAACACAGAGCAAAGAGGTTTATCTGTCGCACAAAGACAGGCCAACACACAGCTGTGAAGGTGAATAATCACAAGCTCTCTCTGTGCAAGGAGTTCCCAAAAATACAGTATGAGTGTGTTGTTATTTACACTGCGAACATATACTCCTGTACACTGTGTATTTCTTAACTTTTTGATAAGGATGTACTGTATGACATACACACTTTCCTGGGAGTAACTAATCCCGCCAAGCACCAGACATCAATGGATGACATTTTCTGGGCTAAATCTGGTCAGCTAGTCAAAGCCTTTAAAAATATGCCACTTCACATATAAATGTGTTCAAAAAGTGAAAGCTGAAGAGTCCTCTTTGCAGCGTATTGGAAAGACTAATATTTAACAAATGTGCTTGTGCTATTTGTATACATGTGGCTACAAATTAGGGCATCTGAGAAAGAAGGTTTTGAGTATAAACCCCCCGGTTGGTTGGTTGTAGGCTTTCTGTGTGGATTTGCATGTTTTCCTTGGGCTTGTGTGAGTACTCAGGTTTCCTCCTACAGTTCAAAGACATACCAACATTGCTTAGAGGTCTTTTCGGTAAGTTTTTGCTCAGTGGGTTATGGTCTAATACACCAGTCATAATAAATAAATTGTAGCTTCATTTGGACTAAAATGTTTTGTGTTTTAAAGACATGATGATCATTCAGAGCTGTAGAAACTGAATTATACTGCAATATCATGTGTATCTAGCACAAACTGTATATAATAGGTGAATGTAGGCTGTGCATCTGAACAGCATTCCTGCATTCCTTTTAATGGCCAGTAGGGGATGATTATTCAGTTTGCGAATAAAAAAAACAAAACACAGTTTTAGTGAGAAAATTAAATGACTCATCACTTAAATTATGAACTCAGTTAACAATTTCTTAACTGTTTTTGTGTTTGCATTGCTAACTTGATTTTGTATTTAATACAACATCGCAGTTATTTTGTAACTAATGTCCAACGTGGAGAAAGATGTTTCATCAAACAAACTTTAATGCGTAGCTAGCGCTCACTACGGTTTGGGCATGCAGGTTCCTCAGTCAAATCTTCAATCTTTACATCTGGTTTACGGATGTTACCAGGAATGATTTCTACAGTGCCATTTGGCATCATAATTGTGGAAACACAACAGCAGGCAAGGGGGCGGCATACGGCTGTAAGTGTTGTAGTCTAGCATTAGCTCTGCTCCAACTCATCGATATGAAAGGCAGAGTCAGCTATGGAAATACTGGTGGGGTGATTGGGGGATGATAACTGACTCACAAACTATATAAAAATTATGTTATTGTGTTTTATTTAGAGTAAGAGAGAGAAAATACTACAAATTTAATAAGTTGGCTATAAGACCAGCACCCAGAATTCAATTTTCTGTTCACAGTAACAACATTCACAATGTTATCCTTCTTATGGTATTCTGAAATGCACTTTAACGTTTTGTTTGAGACAGCTGGCACTACCGGTGTGAAATCAATTTTGTTCCATGGGCTAAAATAGCTAAAATTGTGCCAACATAATGACACTGTAACGTTAGCATCCTGCTCGGCAACCATCCTAACATTTCAGTCTGTGTGTGGTCAACAAAATGTAAAGTTAACATTTTAAATAAATAATCTGCCACCCCATTGATGTGTCAGTATATGGGATGATCATTTAGGCATCAAAGTGGGAGTCAAGAATCATGTAATACTACTAGTGTTGGTACCGACTGCTAAATTTCTGGTATCCCTAATCTGGTTTCAGAAAACCAAACATGGAGGTAGCCAAAATCTTGGATTCAAGTTTTTACAAATGAATGGTGGATAAGTCCAGCTTTAAAATAGAGTCAGCTTACTTTCCCCAATAATAACTAAGACTGAAAAAGAAAAGAGGCATGGGAAAGAGATGGAAACGACCAAAGAACACCAAGGGGAGGAAAGAATGAGGAATGGAGGAGCCACCAGACCGAGTCCCAGACTGAGAGAAAGCTGGAGATGGATTACGTTTCCAACACTTGCATT